GGACGGTGCTTCTGATGTCAAAATGCAGGTGGAGGGCGGGACACGAAAGAGGACTGCAGCATCATCGGATTCTGATGATGTGCTAACTCCTGCCCAACGCCCTGGGAAAAAGTCTTGGGTGGAGGTACAGAAGAGAGGGAATGGTGAACCCAAGGATCAAGGGATTGCAAAGGTGATTCCCAACAAAGGGGGAGGGACAGAGGTTGTTGCAAAACGAACTGGGGTAAAGTCAATGCCGGGGACAAAAGGAAAACCCATTTGTTGAATTCAAGTGTTTTACTATAAATATTAACGGGTTGAGAGCTGAGAGGAAGCTTAAGTGGTTTAATGAGTATTTGGTGCGACTTGGTGTGGATGTGGTATTCTTACAGGAACATAATTTTAGGCCTGGTTATGAGTTGGATATGAGTGGTTATAATGTGTACATGGAACATGCGACGCTTTTTGAAAGGTGGGGCTGCCATTTTGGTAAAGGAAACTAGCCCGTTTATAGTAAGGCGTAGTGAAGGGGGGGAGGGGAGGGTAATTAGGGTGGATGGAACTTGGGGTAGGGTTCCCATTAGTTTAGTATGTGTATATGGTCCGGCTGAGGTGACGTGAGTATTAAAACTAAATTTGTTCGGGAACGTGCTGGTCTATTTTTTACGTGGTTTACCGAATGTTGCAATAATAGGCGGAGATTGGAATTGCGTGATACGTCGTAAAGATGTGGAGCCCAGAGGTGCGGGTGTTGTTTGGGTATATTGGGGATATATTGACCGGGGTGGGGTTAAAGGATGTGTGTGGGGGGGGAGGGATGGTAGGCATACCTTCATTAAACGAGGTTATGCGGCGAGGTTGGACCGAATGTACGTGCCTTGTGCGGTTACTGTGCGGAGGGTGGATGTGATAGATGTGGTTTTTTCCGATCATAGAGGAGTGGTAATAGATGTGGATATTGAGGGTGTGCCTCGGAGGGGTCCATCATTTTGGAAATTGAATGTAAAGTTATTAAAGGAAGAGGATAGTCTTTTGTCTTTTGGACATATGTGGGATCGTTTAGTGGTAGAAGCTCCAGGGGATGTTGCCATGGTTAATTGGTGGAACAATAGCTAAAAAACGTATTAAGGAATATTATATTAATCGAGGAAGAGATATAATCAGTTACAATACGGTTTTCAAAAATATTTAGAGGGGCAGTTGCGCGAATGTTATGCACAAATTAATGCTAATTATCCTGTTATTTAAATTGAAAGTTTGAAGGAAAATATTCGGAATTTACAAAATGAGAGGTTTGATGGGAAGGCTTAAGGGCGGGATTGAGGAGGTTTTGTGGGGAGATCGGCCGTCGGCGTGTGTGTTGCGGATCAACACACACGTCGCAAGGCAATGGAGTTAATGGGTTGAATGTTCAGGTAGGTATGCAAGGGTATAAAGTGGACCAGGTGTTGACGACGACTGAGGGTATGAGTGGGTATATTGATGCTTGGGTTAAGTTGAAAACGCAAAGTGTGGGAATAAGTGAAATAGCATTACAGTCAATTGGAAGGTTTTGTGCAGTGTGAGTTGACAGAGCATGATCGATTCGTTTTGGAAGGGCCGATAACGGAGTGCGAGACATGGGTAGCTTTATCCGGGCGCAATTAGGAAAGGCACCAGGAATTGATGGGTTGCCCAGTGACTTTTATCTCCAAAATTGGAGCGTTTTAAAGAATTTTTGGTAAGATTATTCAATATCATTAAGCGGGATCGGGTTTTAGGGGCACAGCAGCGGATGGCTGTGGTCGTTTAGTGCCTAAAGGTGAGCCATTAACAGTTAAAGACTATCGTGCTATTTCGTTATTGTGTGTGATTATAAGATTTTTGCAAGAATTTTAGCTAACAGAATAAAAAAGGTCCTGGGTAAAGTGATCGATAAGGGACAATATGGGGTGCCGGGAAGGTCTATGTATGACGGGCATGGTTTGATTAGAAGTTTTTATTGAAGAAAGAGTAAAATTGGGAGGGGGGGGGTGTTGGCTATAGATTGGGAGGCGGCATATGATAGTGTAGAAAGGGAAGCGTTATGGAAGATTATGAGATGGCAGGGGTTTGGAGAGGAAATTATATCATGGGCCAAATTAATGTATCAAGATGCATCCTTGCGGGTGCAGGTAAATGGAAGGTTAGGAGAACAAATTCAGATGAGCAGGGTCTACGTCAAGGTTGTCCCCTTCACAAATATTTTTTGCGTGTTTACAGATCCCTTTTATAGAGGAATTAGGGTCTTATTGGCAGCAAATGGGGTTGGTGACGAAAGGGGTGGGGGGGCTGGCATTGTTGGATATGTTGATGACACAACGATTTTAGTAAGTGGTAACAGGGATTTGCCTCGGGTGGAAAAGTTAGTAAATGTTTTTGAAAAGGCTTCTGGCATGTCAATTTAATAAGGAAAAAACGAAGTATATGGATCTTGGAGATAGGTTAAGTGAGGAATGTGAATAGTTGAAAGGTGGAAAAAGGTGGACCAATTACTGATATGTGGGATCGTTTATGTAAGTGATATCAAGTTAGCACAACAAATAAATTCAGTGCGTATTGTAGATGGTGTACTGAAGCGCCTCAGTGGTTTACGAGCTGCACACTTAACTTTGCATCAAAGAGTAATTACAACGAATGTCCTATTATATAGTAAACTTGGCATGTAGCAGCATATATCCGATACTTCGTAGTGAGATACAAAGGTTACAAAAGCGCGTTTTTAGATTCATTTGGGGTACTGGAAGCGAATGGTTAGGTAGAGCGGTTGTCACACTCCCGGTTGGCCGTGGAGGGCTGGGTCTTATAGCTGTTGAAAAGAGGATTATGAGTGTGTATTTGAAACGTAGTTATAAGCGGGAGGGGGGGCGAGGGAAGGCGGACTTCATAAGATACGTCAGATATGCAACGGTGGTGGGTGGGTAGGGAGTTCATAATAGGTGAGGCAATGTTACGGGTCCTCATAAACATGAGCGATCCTTCACATATTAAATTGGGAAACCTTGATGGGGTGGAAGGTAAGGCAGTGGTAGCAGTGGTAGAAGGTGTTTTATCCGATGTATGATTGGCGTAATATCTGGGGGCGTTTGAACAAATTACGTTTAAAACCTAAAGTACGAGAAGTAATGTATAGATTTTTACATGTGGATCTTACCGTCTGGAATGGTTTTATTCCATAAGAGAATACGGGAGGATGGGATATGCAGGCTTGTGGTGGATGGGAGACTGTTTTCCATATAGTGTATATTTTTGCGAATGTATTGAACTAATAAGGGTTGGTTGGGTAAGGTAATAAGGTTAGTGGGAGGGGGGGGTTTGCAGGTGTTGAGGGTTTTAAGCTTTAGACATAGGTGGGGTGAATCAGATGGTAGAGAATGCGGTAGGGTATATAATTACAGATTATATTTATATGTCTTGGCTATGAAGACGAACGTGTGTGAAAAATTAATGCATTAACAGCAACTTTTTATAGGACAAAGTGTAGAAATAAGGAGGTGTATGGGGGGAGATGGGAGAGGGATTTAAGTGATGGTTATAGGAATTACATTTACGGAATTTACGGGAGTTGAAAGGCAGGTAAGGGGGATGAAATGGGCTGGTTTCCTAGAATGGGCGGTAGCATGATGAGTTTGATGAATGTTATATGAGGTATGTCTGGGTGCAATTTTAACATTATTTGTTCCGAGTGTGTCAAGTACAATACAGTTATATTTGGAATTATCGACTTATAACTATGTATGTGTATGTGTGTAATATATGCATGTGTTGTAGGTGTGTGTGTATTTGTGTATGTATGTGTATGTGTGTATGTATGTATGTATATATGTATGTGTATGTATGTATGTGTATATATATATATGTATATGTATATATATATGTATATGTATGTATATGTATGTATTGTATGTATGTTTACTTTCTTGTATATACCATTAATGGTTTTTCCTCATGAACATTTTCAATGATATACAATACATATTTTCTATGAGCATTTATGATTTTGATACAATGTGTAAATGTCAAAATGGCTTTTTATGTTCCAGTTTAATTTACAATTGTATTTTTGTAAGCACAATTGATTTGGTGCCAATAGAAGTATGTAGTTTAAGAGTTTTACGAACCTTGAAGTTGTAAGAATTGGATGAAGTTATTCATGGTTGAGTTGACGTAATATTATAACTGACGTTGTAAGTGATTGTGTTCAATTAGACAACATACTTTATATACTTATTTATATGTATGTACAATGTATGTAAATTGAAGTCTGATTTTAAAGGTGAAGAGTGGGTTTTCCTTTTTTGTTTTTTTTTTCTCTTTATGGTAATACAAGGTTGTATTATGTACACCAACAAATATGGTTAGGGGTATGTGGTAAAATTTTCGTGTTGATTAGACATTTATAATACAGATGAAATACTAGGCTTAGGGTAAATTTATGATAATTGTGGAATGTTCTTTGATTCAAACTGCTCTTTATTATACTTGTATTTTATTATTCTAGTGTGAATTAAGAGCAAGGATGATTAATTTGAGGAAGAGTTAATATAGGTTTGCATGTTTTTGCGAAAAGTTAACTTATCCACATGTAGCTAGTATAGGACAATTTTAAGCTTCGGTATCTGATTTTATATGTAGGTAATAGTGGTCATATTTGTTATATTGTAATGTTATTCGTTAATGTTTCAATATCTAATGTAACGTTTTTTCAGTTATTTGTTCATATATTGTCATCTTTAGGGTTTTTCCTTTTGTCTATTGTCTATTGTTGGTTTTAAATAAAATATAAAAAAAAAAAAATTCTAAGAATGTAATACGTGCTGACTATGATGTATCTGTCAGGTCTCACAAATGGGAAAAAAATATCCTAATTTTAATAATGATCATAATTCCTCCCATAAAAAAGGTTGCATAGGCACATATTAAATGGCAAGAGCAAAAAATAAATATTCTCCACACCAAATAAAGAGGAATAAGTACCTTAATAAGAATGTCTTGACATCTTAGTCATTATGATTCGCTTTATATTGATTCAAAACCGTGCTGGAAAAACTCGCTTGGCCAAATGGTATATGAATTTTGATGATGATGAGAAGCAAAAGTTAATTGAAGAAGTACATGCAGTAGTCACAGTGAGAGATGCCAAGCACACAAATTTTGTGGAGTTTCGAAACTTCAAAATTGTGTACCGACGCTATGCTGGCTTGTATTTTTGCATCTGTGTAGACATAGCTGACAACAATCTTGCATACCTCGAAGCCATACACAATTTTGTTGAGGTGCTTAATGAGTACTTCCACAATGTTTGTGAACTTGACTTGGTATTCAACTTTTATAAGGCTTACAGTGTAGTAGACGAGATGTTTCTTGCTGGAGAGATCCGTGAAACAAGTCAAACCAAAGTGCTTAAGCAACTTCTGATGCTGAACTCTCTTGAATAACCCCTAGTCAGGATGCTGGAGGTACACTACACTGTAATACTGAGCAGCAGTTTGGAATTGGTAGTTGTTCACTCTGATTAACACTTGACGTGTCTTTCACTGGCACTAGTACTACACAAGGTCCCCAATGAACGTATAGTTAAGGAGTTCCCGCAGAGTTACCTTCTGCTGGATTAGTAGTCAAGTGGGGGATATCCTTGTCTTCAGAGTGAAAGTGTCTATATCAAGACATATGGTATGTTGTTTTTTTTGCAACAATTAATTTTCCACCTAATATAATGAAGATTGTGAATAGCTTGTATGAGAAAGTGTATATTAGTTGGATGTACATTATTAAATTTCATGATAAAGTATTCATTATCCTGTGAGTTTCCTAATTTGTTTGTTATAGATCATGATGTATGTAATTTCATAGATTGTATATTTTTTTTGTTTTATTAAAGAAGCTAAGTACAAAAAAAAAAAAAAAAAAAAAAAAAAAAAAAAAAAAAAAATAAGAATGTCTTGACTAATGGGCAAGTCAAGCAAAAGAGGGAGTGTCTTTTTTCTCCAAGAATTGTAATGCTTATAATTCATGGGATGTTACTGTGGAAAGGTTGGAAGAATTTGGCAGATGTATCAGATGTTTAGGCAGTTATAATGTTATGCCAAACTCAATAACAGCTATCATTACCACAAAGGAAGGCATCATGCAGTAATGTGTAAGGAAAATTTGTATAATAATAATTATGATGATAATGACAATCATGATAATAATGATGTTAACACTGAAACAACAGTTACTAATGTAAAAATTGCAGCTAATGTTAATGATGATGGCATAGTTGAAGTAGCCTTACCCGTGGTAATGTAAAAAATTAGGGATACAAGGCGTAAATAAAAAAATGTAACTGCATTACTGGACCAAGGATCTCAACGCACAGTCATAAACCGTAGTTACCTTAATGATATGAAACTGCAAATGGGGGAATCTCACAAATTTAAAATTATATAGTTTTCTGTCAGATAAAAGGGCCCAGTTAAGATAAGATTTCGTTCGGATTTTTAACCCCGGAGGGTTAGCCACCCAGGATAACCCAAGAAAGTCAGTGCGTCATCAAGGACTGTCTTAACTTATTTCCATTGGGGTCCTTAATCTTGTCCCCCAGGATGCGACCCACACCAGTCGACTAACACCCGGGTACCTATTTGCTGCTAGGTGAACAGGACAACAGGTGTAAGGAAACGTGTCGAAATGATTCCACCCGCCGGGAATCGAACCCGGGCCCTCCGTGTGTGAAGCGGGAGCTTTAGCCACCAGGCCACCGGGCCACTATAACACTATGTAAATGTCGGCTTGGACAATGAGGAAATGTGTCAGTTATAGTTGATAGGCTCCCACAGATAATTTCTACAATAGAGCTTAGTGAAGCTACTGACAAGCTTTCACAAAATAGTGTGAAATTGGCATTAGCTTCACATCATCTGCAAATAGGGTCACCTCTGAATCAGTCCCTTTCCTCATGTCATTCACATATACCAGAAACAGCACTGATTCTAGGACTAACCCTTGTGGAACCTCGCTCATCACATCGCTTCCCTCTTACACCACCTCACGTACCATCACTCGTTGTTCCCTTCCTGTCAGGAATTCTCTGAACTGTTGCAGGACTAACAGGAACAGTCCTGTTAGTCCTGCCTGCTCCTCTAGTTTTTGCGCTAATATCTTGTGCAGAACGGTGTCAAAAGCCTTCTTGTGTGTGTGTGTGTGTGTGTGTACCCAACATATTCAGCAGTTTCGCTTAATTTAAGCGCCACTTGAGTTGGTTTACATCTCTCAGGTTTGGCAACCTTGCTTACCCTGGCCGGCTGGCTGGCTGGCTGTGGGCTCATGTTGCTGCCCACACTCAGTGTTGGTGCAGCAGCGGACGTAGTGGTATACAGCAATTTTCTCTGTGGAATTAACTCCATTAGGTTGGTTATTCAAAGTTTCAACACGCTTAGTAACTATATTTTATCACTAGAAGATGTATGCAATTTTTTTTAATAATTTTAGCTTTTAACAGCCTTGTGCGTAGTTACCACAATTATATCTACGTACAAGGCTAACGTCGGTTGATGATTTCAACGTCACCATGGTGATGTGATGTGTTTGGTGATATTGCTGGTAAATTCCTATCTTTTCATTTCTTATGAACGCTTGTCCTTCCTAGTAAGTATTAATGTGAAGATTTTTTTCTGATTTTTAACCCTGGAGGATTAGCCTCCCAGGATAACCCAAGATAAGCAGTGCGTCATCGAGGGACTCTGACTTCCATTGGGGTCCGCAATCTTGTCTTTCAGAATGTGACCCACACCAGTCTACTAACACCCAGGTACTTACTTGCCTGCTAGATGAACGGAACAGGTGTAAGGGAACACTTTCAATGCTTCCACCCTTGCCGGTGATCTAACCACAAGACAACGGGTGAAGCGAGAGCGTTGCCTACCAGGCCACGGGCCACCCGTGGGGTCCCCCACCCATGAGCGCATTTTTGTGGGGGAAGACGGTTACAGGTTCGGGGTTGAGGGCCATTTTCCCGTGTGGCTTAACATTTTGCTTTTCGATTAACGTAATATTGCCTATCCAGGCACCAAGAGGTATTAGGGTTAGGTTAGGTTTGTCGGGGAATACAAGTGGTTTCCATTGGGTCTTAGTCCTATGATCACCTGCAGCTGGAGGTTTTGGTCACCTGACAGGCTCGTTGACTTGCCAGTCGACCCCTTTGAAAATTAGTTATAATTTTAACCAGGAGGTGTTTGGGGGCTCGTGGATCAATTGACAGGTTTTACTTCGCACACTAAGATACCAGGGTTCGATACCCTAACGAGTGACAACGTTGGGAATGTTTCTTTACATCTAAGTACCTGGGTATTAGCCGACTTGTGTGGGTCGTAGCCAAGGAAGGAGGGATTTTAAAGGACTCCAATGGAAATAAGCCCGACAGTGGCTTTAATTAAGTTTATTTAAGAACTGTTACATATAAGCACAATTGACAAGTTGAGGTGATTACGATTACCGTACATAGTAGTACATAGTAACTTGTAGGTTATTTATAAACGTAAATTGAGCATTTCCACTGGGGGGGGGGTTCCTTGTAAATGTTTATTCAGGTATACACAAATAGTTACATAGATTCGTAAATAGCAGCATATGTGTAGAGAACCTAGGATAACCCAAATAAGTCAGCCTTGCTATTAGATAAAGTAGCAGTCAGCATGATTAAGAAAAAATAAAACTAAACAATTCAACGTCGGGAAAAATCAGTGATGATAAAGTTCATTAGGAATAAAGTGAATAGTAATTTACATGCCCATTAGAGAAAATCATTTTAATAGGTTTGCGAATGTTAATTATACGAGAAATCCCTTTCCTCCCTGTCTGTAGCTTCATTCATTAGGAACCTTTTTAGCTCTCCCTTTGAGCTTGTCCGCTCAAGGGAAGGTTCCTTGAAGGCTGGTGAGGGGCTCTTGATCTAGGGAATTGGATCTGTGCTCCAGTTACCTGAATTAAGCCAGAATACCTTCCATATATCCCCCCTCAGGCGCTGTATTATTCTACGGTTTAGCGCTCCCCATGATTATAATAATTTTGAACTTGTTTAAGGCTAAGATAAGATAAGATTTCGTTCGGATTTTTAACCCCGGAGGGTTAGCCACCCAGGATAACCCAAGAAAAGTCAGTGCGTCATCGGGACGT